ATACGACGTATGTTTATATATATACGACGCGTATGTTTATATATATAACGTATGTTTATATATATATTACGTATGTTTATATATACTCCATATGTTTATATATATATACTACGTATGTTTCTATATATACTACGTATGTTTATACTATATGCTATGTATGTTTATATATATACTCCGTATGTTTATATATACTCCGTATGTTTATATATACTCCGTATGTTTATATATACTCCGTATGTTTTTATATATATACTACGTATGGTTATATATATACTACGTATGTATGTATATACTACGTATGTTTATTTATACTACGTATGTTTATACTTCGTATGTTTATATATATACTTCGTATGTTTATATATACTATGTATGTTTATATATACTACATATGGTTATATATACTACGCATGTTTATATATACTACGTATGATTATATATACTACGTATGTTTCTATATATACTACGTATGTTTACACTACGTATGTTTATATATGTACTATATACTACGTACGTTTATATATACTACGTATTTTTGTATATACTACGTATGTTTATTACTACGTATGTTTATATATGCTACGTATGTTTATATATACTCCATATGTTTATATATATATACTACGTATGGTTATATATATACTACGTATTTATGATAAAGAACAATATAAACGTCTTTGACGATTACTGTAACCTGTACTACGTATGTTTATATATATTCTACGTATGTTTATATATATATTACGTATGTTTATATATACTGCGGGTGTTTATAATACTGCCTATGTTTATATATACTTCGTATGTTTATATATATACGACGCGTATGTTTATATATATAACGTATGTTTATATATATACGACGTATGTTTATATATATAGTACGTATGTTTATATATACTGCGGGTGTTTATAATACTGCCTATGTTTATATATACTTCGTATGTTTATATATACTACTTATGTTTATATATAATACGTATGTTTATATATACTGCGTATGTTTATACTACGTATGTTTATACTATATACTACGTATGTTTATTTATACTACATATGTTTATATATATACTATCTATGTTTATAAATACTATGTATGTTTATATATATACTCCGTATGTTTATATATATACCACGTATGTTTATATATATAATACGAAAGTTTATATATATACTACGTATGGTTATATATATACTACGTATGTTTCTATATATACTACGTATGTTTACACTACGTATGTTTATATATGTACTATATACTACGTATGTTTACACTACGTATGTTTATATATGCTACGTATGTTTATATATATAATACGAAAGTTTATATATATACTACGTACTTTTATATATACTACATATGTTTATATATACTACATATGTTCATATATATATAACGTATTTGTTTATATATATACTACTATATACTACGTATGTTTATATATATACTACGTATGTTTGTATATACTACGTATGTTTATATATACTACGTATGTTTATACTACGTATGTTTATATATACTACGTATGTTTATATATATACTACGTATGTTTATACTATATACTACCTATGTTTATATATACTACTTATGTTTATACTATATACTACTTATGTTTATACTATATATTACGTATGTTTATATATAATACGTATGTTTATATATACAACTTATGTTTATATATACTACGTATGTTTACACTACGTATGTTTATATCTACTACATATGTTTATATATACTACATATTTTTATATATACTACGTATCGTATGTTTATATATACTACCTATGTTTATATATACTACATATGTCTATATATACTATGTATGTTATATATGTAAATATACTACATATGTTTATATATAAACATACAAAGTATATATAAACATACATAGTATATATAAACATAGGTAGTATATATATAAACAAATACGTTATATATATATAAAAACATACGTTATATATATATAAAAACATGCGTAGTATATATAAACACACACATAATATATATAAACATACGAAGTATATATAAACATACATAGTATATATATAAACAAATATGTTATATATATATAAACATACATAGTATATATATAAACAAATATGTTATATATATATATACACATACGTAATATATATATAAACATATGCAGTATATTTACATATATAAACATACATAGTATATATATAAACAAATACATTATATATATATAAACATATGCAGTATATTTACATATATAACATACATAGTATATATAGACATATGTAGTATATATATAAACAAATACATTATATATATATAAACATATGCAGTATATTTACATATATAAACATACATAGTATATATATAAACATATGTAGTATTATAAACATACGTAGTATATACAACCATACGTAGTATATATAAACATACTACGTATGTTTATACTTCGTATGTTTATATATACTACATATGTCTATATATACTATGTATGTTTATATATGCTATGTATGTTTATATATGTAAATATACTACATGTGTTTATATATATACTACATATGTTTAGATGTACTATGTATGTTTATATATGCTACGTATGTTTATACTTTATACTACGTATGTTTATACTATATATTACGTATGTTTATATATGCTATGTATGTTTATATATGTAAATATACTACATATGTTTATATATACTACTTATGTTTATAATACTACATATGTTTATATATAAACATACAGATGATATATAAACATACGTAATATATAGTATAAACATATGTAGTAGATATAAACATACGTAGTGTAAACATACGTAGTATATACAAAAATACGTAGTATATATATATACTACGTACTACGTATGTTTATACTATATACTATGTATGTTATATATGTAAATATACTACATATGTTTAGATGTACTATGTATGTTTATATATATAATACGTATGTTTATATATACCAGGTATGTTTATATATATAACATATTTGTTTATATATATACTACATATGTTTATATATACTATGTATGTTTATATATGTAAATATACTACATATGTTTATATATATACTACGTATGTTTATATATATATAACATATTTGTTTATATATATACTACGTATGTTTATATATACTATGTATGTTTATATATACTATGTATGTTTATATATATATAACGTATTTGTTTATATATATACTACGTATGTTTATACTATATATTACGTATGTTTATATATACTACATATGTTTATATATACTACCTATGTTTATATATATACTACGTATGTTTATATATACTACGTATGTTTATATATACTACGTATGTTTTTAATACTAAGCATGTTTACATTCTTTATAAAGTGTAGACCTCTCTGGATTGATGAATGGAGAATCTATATCGTTGATCAATTAAGCCGGTCAAGATGTTCTATTTGTTAACTCTTTGCTATGAAATAAGAAGAGAAGAATGTGTTGTAGCTTCTGTCTATGAACCTAGCTTAGCTCCTTTTTCCCCCTGTAAGTAGAACACAACTTCCTCAAACAAGTTGACATTTTAGGGTGCTCCAGGACCAACACATCAGCCTCACAGAAGACACTCGAGATCATGTGTCACACGTGTTTATTTGTTCACATCCATTACAGATATCAAAGGTCATTGAGGTAACCTAAAACTTCTGAAATCTTTTTGAAGATCTATGCAGCATATTTCAATGCTGTTAAATTTTATTGCACAATATTCAAAGGTTATGGTCAAACAGTGCTATTGTAATTTGAGCATGATTTCCAATGTTATTGAATAAACAAAGAACTGATGCAGGATGTATTGTTACAATAACACATTTATTTCAATTAGTCTGAGCTTAATTTACATGATGAATTTTTACAAATATTTATAAACATGCATATTGTATCTGAAACAAGTTAAGTTTACTACAAATAAAAGCATATATATCTACATATTACACTAATGTACACAAAATCAACACAATTCCTTATTGATATGTATCACTGTACAATTCTGACTACATTCTATATACATATATTTATATCTAAATTATTAATAGATATCAGACTGAACTAGAAACAATTATTACAATGCAGGAGTTACCTCCCTTCACACGTTCTCCAGCTGAAGCTTATATACAACATGGTAGATATTTACATAGAATAGCTAACCTTTCTGAATTTCATCTTTGAATCAAAAACATAGTTCTTTAAAGATGCTGGAATCATCACTGATAACCTCAATTTGATTGGGATAAGCTTTTGTGGTGTTTGGAGTCAGAATGATAATATAATAATAAAACTTTGAATTTGTAGAATTAAGTTCATACATATATATAAACACATCAATTCCAGTGTTATATTTGTTATTTATATATTTTTTCTGTTTTGGAGGGTTTTCACGATGATCTTTTTTCTCTAGAAAATAAACCTAAAGATGTGTATAAACTACAAGCATGTATACCTCTAAATATGATTATGAAATGAAAATATATGTTAAATACCAAATGTTAACATAAACATGGTGCCCTATTGCTTCTCAACTCGACGAAGTAGTTGAACTTGAATGTAATGAATGCTGAATAGACAATATATAAACTTTACTTTGATGTTAGACTCATAAAAGTACCTGCACACAAATTTGTGTATAAACATTAAATCAGTTATTGTAATTATAAGCATGACTGTTTACTTCGTGACACTGTTACCATATATCTGACAACATTAAGACAACCATTTGTGTCTACTTTCAGCGATGGTTTCTGAACTCCTTGTTCATTACAATATAACTTTAAGTCGGTCAGAGTTTTAACTGAAGCTGTCTTTAAAGCTATATCCATTGTAATTGCTTGCTCAATGTCTGAAATGCGTTTTGTAGTTTGGTGCTACTTGAAGCTGTGTTTGTTTTTGCATGTTCAGAGTCTCCTCTGTTGTTTTGAAGCTTGCTGCTCTTTGAATTTGTGGTGTATTTTGTGTGATCAGCGTCTTCACTGCTCTTTGAAGCTATGCTTTGTTTTAGAGTCTGAACTGATCATTGAAATGAACTTTGTTTGCCTGATCAGAGTGCAAGCTGCTCTTTGAAGCAATACTTCGATTGCTTTATCAGAGTCTGAGCTACTCTTTGATGCTATAGTTGCCTGATCAGAGTCTGAGCTGCTCTTTGAAGCTGGAGGAAATGTACCTCCAAACTTTTTTTTATCACAGATCCACACAAAGTATATGATACAGTTCTTTTTAAAATGTCTTTTGTACCATTCCTGCTGCCGTCTTTCACAACCGTCAAATACTAGTCCAAGGGGGACCACTCTGTCACACCTAAGCCACCTGTATGACCATCACCATGAGGTTTCCTGTCACAATGATCTGACTTTAATGTCTTGGATGTATTTCACGGTTCCTGGTAACCAGGAAAACTTGGACTATGACCATTCGACTCGTTGCTTGTTTCCGGTTGGATCTCTGGTCCTATAGGCATAATACGCTGTTTCATCCAAGGAAGGGATTCTTCATTTTGTTTCAAACACACCTTAAACTGGTTGTTTTTCTTCCACTGGCACGCTCCATCCATCCTGACACACTGGCCGTGACGCTGGTAGCAGTCCTGAGTCCAGTTCGGTTGATATTTGCAATAATCTTGGCGAAAGAGTTTACGGGCCCCAGAGCAGAATGTTCCGAAGCAGGTGGCCACCTACAGATAAAACAAGGGCAGATTCCATTGTTATTTACTGGTTTATAGAGTCCTTTGTATCTGAAGTGTCATTACTACGCATATTTAACGCTTAATTAGGTCCTTCTAGATAATTAAATGAGGCAGAACTTAGCGGAGACATCTCTTGTTATTCATAATGTAAGGTATGCCAAAAGCATTAACAGGTCATCAAAATGTGTCTGCTTTATACAGCAATATCTGACGGAAGAATGTTTGATTAATTAGTTAAAACGTAGTTCACTTAAAGTGCCACATCTGTACATACATAGATACTCATTTTCTTGATGCAACGTATATTTTTCCTATTATCTATATGCATATATAAACATTTTTCATAATCAAATGAACTTTTATATTAATTGTTTGGCAAAATTTAGGCAGAGAAAGGTGTAGGTATTAGAATAGTTGGGTGAATGTATTCAAGATTACTAAGAGTAGAACAAAGTAAAGCTTATTGAAGAGAAGTAGAAATTGACAGAGTAGAAAAATGTGAGAGTATGGCAAGGTCAGATGAGTAAGGACGACTGCGTGAGTAGAAAGTGAGTGTAGCCGGTGGATTTACGCCAAGAAATACATCAACTGAATGTTATCAGCTGCTAAGGAGCCTTGAACAGCTTTGATATATGCCATACCGTGGGGGAGATGGTTTAATCCTCCATCATTCCAGACAGATAATTGACTCTCCTCTGTTGTGGGTCACAACAATCAGGATTTTGAGCAATGGTAATTAAATGTGCTAGCACAACTATCAAACACTGTTTCTATATATCTTTCAACTTCAAACAAAATTAGACTTTAGTGGATAGATATTTTTTTCGCACTTGGGCAGAAAGGATTAGAGTAAGCGGGCCTTAGGAAGTATTATATGACTACATATGTCACCCACTACTATATTTAGTTTGGAAGGTCAAAATTTATCACAAGAAAATGTGTTTTATGTATGACTTAAAAGTGAAATGTTTGGATAGTGATTGCTAGGTAGGAAGCTGTGTGAAACGCTATACTGCTAGGCTCTAGTCTTTAATTATTCAGAATCGTTTTGTATCATGAATCTTTGAAGTTAGTCAACACAGCCATTACAAATACGATATATTACATATGTACATTGTCTTTATTGTTTGAGATCAACAAACATTTTAAGGGGTCGGCTGCTTTATTGTTATTTATTTCAAACAGCTGTAGATTTTTAGAATTCAAACTCGGTACATCAGGTTTATCTACTACCAGTGTTAAGATGCATTGGTCCTTGGCGCCAATAGGTTATCCTTAGGGATTTTTTATATCTGTTGAAATAAGGTAAAATTTCAAAGATAAAAGCCAAAGATTGCCAAAGATTGTGTGTAAAAGAAATAAATTTGACAAGTTTCGAGACCAACAGTCTACACGTCTGGCAGATTTTAGTTCAAAGGAAAATGAATTCGTTCCTTCAGGGATGATTTTGATTTGATTTTTTTTTATGAAACCTAATATTCATGATATGAGTTTAAAGGACTGAAGGTCTGGTTAGGTTCGGTTTTGTAACGAGCCTCGTGTGGGGCATCATGGTCAGCTATCTCTTGTAACGAGCCTCGTGTGGGGCATCATGGTCAGCTATCTCTCTGTATATTCAGATTTTATAACAAATTAAAATTCAAGGGATAGACACAATTAAGGGAATAAGCTGTAAGGAATGAGATAATTAAGGGAAGAATAACCCAACCTTATATGTAAAACCGATCCCTATTTGAAAAAAATGAAATTTTAAAATGAGTGAGCTTTTAAGTAGTAACTAAGGAAAGAGATTGTGGAAGGTAGGGAGTCTCAGCAAGGATAAAGTACCAGAAGCAAGGGTTTTAAAATCCAGATGAATATACGTAATTTAAAAAGGATTGTTTCTACAGACTTACTTGACATCCACAGTTGTGTTTGTACTTGAACTTGAGGAACTTTTTCTGGTGGAGATTGAGGGTTTTGTACTCCTGTACCCAGCCACAATAATTAATCCACAGCTGGTTGTTCCGGATTGTCCCTGATTTAATGAAGAAAGAAAACTGTAGAATATTGCTGGAATTAAAGTATAATGATCTAATACAAAACTTACATTAGACCATCTAAAACCTTTTCCGTTGCTGTTGTTCAAAATTAATTGACTTTATACAAAAATAGATAAAGATTAAATGGTTTTTGTAGCCATACGATGAGGAGCAACCGTTTTCCATTGGAAACAGATGTGTAATCTGAATGCAATGTTACTGTGTTGGGGTTGAATAGTCATTGTTAGCTACAAACATGATCACACGATAAAGCTTTGTGAAAACACATTATAAGTGGGATTGGTGTAAGAGTTATTATACCTTTTATTCATATTAGAGTAATCTCCCTTGAACATTTTTTTTGATAATTACGATTTACCTGTGAGATATTATTTTACTATTCCCATGTCGAAGTGTCAAGATGTTTAAATGTGACACCAATTAATAATAAAGAAGGACTTGTGCAAGTCTAGTAGAACTAGGAGGTTCATAGTTTGGGATCATGCCAGTATATGCCTCAGTATACGACATCAGCTTTTAGACTGTGCTATCATCTACAGGTGTAATGGGTTTATTCTAAAATCAGAACTACAGGATTTATCAGCAGAAATTTGTATGGGATGAATTAGAGGTTAGATTGCTGGAGGTTTTTTTCAGGCTTCAGTAAGATGTTTTTGTGCTATGTGTTTGTGATGAACCAGCCGAATTATGTAAGAATCTGTACGAGTCCATGCTTTACCATGCAGTTTACTCGACTTGTATTATTGTAGACCACAGGAATTTTCACAGCTGCCATTGAGGCACATCTACATAAGCCCACTATTTACCTATCTACATAAGCCCACTTATTTACCTATCTACATAAGCCCACTTATTTACCTATCTACATAAGCCCACTATTTACCTATCTACATAAGCCCACTTATTTACCTATTTACATAAGCCCACTTATTTACCTCTGATGGCTTTTTTCAAGGTTGATTTTTCTCAATATGAGCTAGATTGACTTCAACAAGTCTACTGTATTAGAAGTATAAGACGTTGCTATAGTATCATATTACATGAAAAGAATTGAACAACTTAACAAGTCAATAGATACCAACTGTCTATAAATACCTAGATTCCTCTTAATATTACAAGTCACCCCTCCTGTAAAGACCACCTGTCTATAAATACCTAGATTCCTCTTAATATCATAAGTCACCCCTTCTGTAAAGACCACCTGTCTATAAATACCTAGATTCCTCCTAATATCATAAGTCACTCCTGCTGTAGAGACCAACTGTCTATAAATACCTAGATTCCTCTTAAAATCACAAGTCAACCCTTTTGTAAAGACCACCTGTCTATAAATACCTAGATTCCTCTTAATATCACAAGTCAACCCTTCTGTAAAGACCACCTGTCTATAAATACCTAGCTTCCTCTTAATATCATAAGTCAACCCTGCTTTAGAGACCACCTGTCTATAAATACCTAGATTCCTCTTAATATCAGAAGTCATCCCTTCTGTAGAGACCACCTGTCTATAAATACCTAGATTCCTCTTAATATCACAAGTCACATCTGCTTTAAAGACCAACTGTCTATAAATACCACGATTCCTCTTAATATCACGAGTCACCCCTGCTGTAGAGAGACCACCTGTCTATAAATACCTAGATTCCTCTTAATATCACAAGCCAACCCTTCTATAAAGATCACCTGTCTATAAATACCTAGATTCCTCTTAATATCACAAGTCACCTCTGCTGTAGAGACCACCTGTCTATAAATACCTAGATTCCTCTTAATATCACAATTCAACCCTTCTGTAGAGACCACCTGTCTATAAATACCTAGATTCCTCTTAATATCACAAGTCACCCCTTCTGTAAAGACCACCTGTCTATAAATACATAGATTCCTCTTAATATTATAAGTCACCCCTGCTGTAGAGATCACCTGTCTATAAATACCTAGATTCCTCTTTATATCACTAGTCACCCCTGCTTTAGAGACCACCTGTCTATAAATACCTAGATTCCTCTTAATATCACAAGTCACTCATGCTGTAGAGACCACCTGTCTATAAATACCTAGATTTCTCTTAATATCACAAGCCAACCCTTCTGTAAAGATCACCTGTCTATAAATACATAGATTCCTCTTAATAACACAAGTCACCTCTGCTGTAGAGACCACCTGTCTATAAACATCTAGATTCCTCTTAATATCACAAGTCAACCCTTCTGTAGAGACCACCTGTCTATAAATACCTAGATTCCTCTTAATATCACAAGTCACCCCTGCTTTAGAGACCACCTGTCTATAAATACCTAAATTCCTCTTACTATCATATTGCTTTGATTTTGATACATTGGGGTTACTATAATGCTTCCCTGCCACACTATTACTGTATATATATATTGTACATACTAATTAGAGTGTTGTTTATTTTGTGAATTGGCTTAAACTTCTTTAATACTTGTTAACTATCAAGCATATCTAATGTAGAAATTAGACTAAAATCTCTGAAAGTGATGGTGACTTTTTAAGTAACAGCTGTCCATATTCCGTTTGATAATAATTGTTCACTCCTCAGCGTCCCAGTTCTCACCTGATAATAGATAAGTTTTGCGGTGCTTCAGTCTCACACCACAAGCAGCATCGGAACCGCCAGTATACAGGTATTTCTTTAAAGCTCTTTGGTATTCTTTGTTGAGATTTCCCTGTGGAAGAAACAAATTTATAAGTTAACTTTCCAACGAACACAAGTTCAATAGTTTTGATAGTTTTGTAGTATTAGTTCTTTAATAGTTGTACATTGAAGATAAGTTTAGTACTTTTAAAAGCAAGTAAACTTAAAACCTCTCCAAAGTGAACACCACTAATAAAACTTAAACATTTTGCAAATAGCCAAGATTTACTTGTGAATTGTTATCAGGTATGGATGGTTACCTTGAACGTTCGATGGACGCGGACTCGGTAGTGACGTTCTATTGGTATCCGCGTATCAAATAGCCAAGATTTACTTGTGAATTGTTATCTGGTATGGATGGTTACCTTGAACGTTCGATGGACGCAGACTTGGTAGTGACGTTCTATTGGTATCTGCGTATCAAATAGCCAAGATTTACTTGTGAATTGTTATCAGGTATGGATGGTTACCTTGAACGTTCGATGGACTCAGACTCAGTAGTGACATTCTATTGGTATCCGCGTATCAAATAGCCAAGATTTACTTGTGTATTGTTATCAGGTATGGATGGTTACCTTGAACGTTCGATGGACGCGGACTCGGTAGTGACGTTCTATTGGTATCTGTGTATCAAATGAACTACTGACAAAGTCTACATTTGACATTGGTAACTCATTCCTGTCGTCGTGGCGACTGTAAACATTCTTCTCTTCCTTCACCGTAGCAACCAGAACTGAAAGTAGGATACAAATATTGTAATTAGCATTGAAATGATCTAAGGATAACACAGATATAATTTCAACTTTTTTTGCTTTGCTAATTCTAATTATGTCTTTGAAAATAATTTTGACACAGAAAATAGTGTAAGTGACCCTACAGCCTAGTAGAAAACATGGTCTTATGAAAATACAATTGAGACATTGGAGGTATCAGGAATTTTCTGGAAACAAATTATATAGCTTATATTTACATATATAACTTAAACAGGTTTTACTCAACATATTTCATTGAGAAGAAGGAAAAGGAACAAGTTTTACTGGAACGTACAGTGTATCTGAATGGTTTTTATTTTGCTGGCTGGGGCAGAAAATTGATGTTACATGTGCTATATATTAATACACATGTATCTTTACAACTTTAAAATTGAGAGAGCATGTTTTCTACATGTTAACAGATCAACAACTGGTGCTGATAATTATCCACACTTATTATGTGTGATAGGAATTTCAGAACAGATCACTATTCACTATGTTAGGTCTGATTACAGGTTTGATGTCTCGGGCACAAGGGAATGTAGCTAGCCCATACTGAATGTAAACTGCTGAGAACGTATCAATATCACGCCCAGTTTTATATGTTCTTTCAGTGGCCTGATTGGAATTACAGTGTTTTCTCCCTTTATATATCTTTAGAACTCTTCAATCAAAGAAGATCAAAATGTTGAAATTAGTTGTAGATTACCTTTTAGCTGATTCAATGTTATCTTGAGGCTTGGTGAGCTGTACATTGTGTCAGTAATGAGGGACTGTTAGCTATTAAAGTTTATATCTTTGTGATATCAGTCTGCTACAATTACAACAAGTGTCTGCCTGTAGACTCCTGTGTGTTATTACTGTTTTTTTCTGTCGGAGCTCTTTTGAAGATTAATTAACTAGAGAAAACAGTCCATCTTACTATCCAGCGTGGGATTGAAACGTGGTTGATGTCTAACTATGCAGCGTGGGATTGATTAATAACATTACAATCTAACCACAGACAGTTATATTGATATTGATTGTTTTCCTTATTTAAAATGTCTTAAATTGATTTATTTTACATAGTGTGACAGTGCAAGCAATATACCTTATCATCACAGTATACATGCTTTTAAGACCATGGCAAAATTACGAGATAGAGGGAATATTTGATTTGTTGAAAGAATAATCAAGGTTTGTGGTCAATAGGCTCAAAAATATCCAAACTCAGTATTTGTCAATTGTCTAAGTTCCTCGTAACGCATACTGTGTTATTGTATATATCTGGCATTTAGAAGTTTTAACCGTAGACCTGTTGTTTAGATGTATTTACCTGTAATTTAGATGTATTCACCTGTTGACTCTACCTGTTGTTTAGATGTTTACCTGAAATTTAGATGTATTTACCTGTGTAGACCTGTTGTTTAGATGTATTTACCAGTTATTTAGATGTACTTACCTGTAATTTACCTGTTATATACATGTTGTTTAGATGTATTCCTGATGTTTAGATGTATATATTTACCTGTGTAGACCTGTTGTTTAGATGTATTTACCAGTTGTTAAGATGTACTTACCTGTAATTTACCTGTTATATACATGTTGTTTAGATGTATTCCTGATGTTTAGATGTATTTACCTGTAATTTAGATGAATATACCTGTTGACTATACCTGTTGTTTAGATGTTGACCTGCTGTTTAGATGTATTTTCCTACTGTTTAGATTATTCCTGCTGTTTAAATGTATACCTGCTGATTAGATCTATTCCTAGCATTTACCTGCTGTTAAGATGTATAACAGGTGTAGATTGTTTTGATTTTTTACCTGTATTAACTGTGTTTTAATGCATACTGGAGATGCCCACTACTGCTACATGTTCCATTCATACAGGAGATAAAATTTGATACATGCCTTTAATGTATAGTGACTTTAGCCATGTCCATGCATTATATAAATATATACCTATGTATCTATGAGGAAGTAGCGAAATTCAAATCAATGGGAAAATAAGGTAATGTATATGTTATATATAAATATGCAAATGACAAATTCCGTTCAAAATTATTGTTTTTTCCAAAAAAATCTTTGGTATGTACATGGAATGTTTCCTGGCATATATTTTACATGATGGCTAACAGACAGTATATATGATGTCACACAGACAGTGTATATGATGTCACACAGACAGTGTATATAATGTCACATAGACAGTGTATATGATGTCACACAGACAGTATATATGATGTCACACAGACAGTGTATATGATGTCACACAGACAGTTTATATGATGTCACTCAGACAATATATATGATGTCACACAGACAGTGTATATGATGTCACTCAGACAGTATATATGATGTCACACAGACAGTGTATATGATGTCACACAGACAGTGTATATGATGTCACACAGACAGTGTATATGATGTCACACAGACAGTATATATGATGTCACACAGACAGTATATATGATGTCACACAGACAGTATATATGATGTCACACAGACAGTGTATATGATGTCACACAGACAGTTTATATGATGTCACTCAGACAGTATATGTGATGTCATTAAGACAGTATGTATTTAATTGTGTGATGAAACACCTGTAAACCTTTAAAAATGACCAATAAAAAGTATATACTTACTGAAGTCTGACCGGCAGTATAGAGATTGACCATGTGATGGTAAACACGAGCATGATAAAGTTTCTCGAAGGGCTAAAAGCAGCACAGATATGTACAGTAGTAATTCCATAGTGTTGTAGAATCCTCCGAAGTATAGCACACCACAGGTGAACGTTACACCTGTATAGTCACAGCCTCCAGGTGAGATTGCACAGGTAGGCAGATAATCCAGGTAAATTAATTCACACACAAAACCTGCAAACAAAAAACACTCGTGGTAAAACAGATAATCATTCCATAAGTCTGTAGAAAACACTAGTGGAAGCGTTAAATGATTTTGGTTAACTGACGGCGGTGGATTACACAGACGATTAGAACGTACTATCTCTGGCTCTGCTGTGTTAGGTATAGGAGATCGTAGCGTACAGACTTACTATACTCGCTGGCAGTTATCCCATTCATGCTAAGACTGCCACCCCATCATCAGTGTTTACTGGCAGCCAGAGCTGGTGGCATTCCCCCACTTATTTATACAATGACGATTATGATAGGCATTTATTTATGTGGCTAATGGAATAAATCAACATTGCACAGCCCAGTTTTAAAGGAGCTTGGGTGTCAGAAATGTATTTACACATATCTTACATTCTACTCTAGCAAAACTTACCTGTATAAGAGGTTACGTTGAAAATCCTAGATCCAATTAGAAGCTTAAGTCAATTGTAATCTTACATTTGTTTTGAAAATCAAGAAATGCACAAGTAAAACTATAGTTGTCTAAGATATCATTTTTAAATGTTCAAATGTAATTACCCCTCAATGTTATATAAGTGAACACCAACATTATAAGATACTAGGTTATCTGTAAACGTCTGTTATTGTAGCGGTTTGATACAGATACTTCAATATAAGCTCTGTTATTAGGCCCCCCCCCCCCTTCCCCATACTCCTGCGAAGGCCTTTCACTCTGTACTCTGTCCATTTGTCTGTCAGTCCATGGGTGTGTTGTCTGTCAGTCCGTGGGTGTGTTGTCTGTCAGTCCATGGGTGTGTTGTCTGTCAGTCCATGGATGTGTTGTCTGTGAGTCAATGGGTTTGTTGTCTGTCAGTCTATGGGTGTGTTGTCTGTTAGTCCATGGGTGTGTTGTCTGTTGGTCCATGGGTGTGTTGTCTGTCAATCCATGGGCATGTTGTCTGTCAGTCCATGGGTGTGTTGTCTGTCGGTCCATTGGTGTGTTGTCTGTCAGTCCGTGGGTGTGTTGTCTGTCATTCCGTGGGTTTGTCAGTTTTCTGGGGCATAATTTGTATGCTCTTGGAACCTTTAATTACCAAATATTTTACTTCTCAGTGTGGCGAGTGTGGTTTTGTAAATTTTTGTCATTATTTACAGAGTTAAGGCTCTTTGTTAGCTTCTAATACCAACCATTGTTCTGAGCATAAATCCATGGCTATTTTACCTATGTTCAGCATATTTTATTATGCTACCAGCTTATGCATTTTTGAAGAAAAGAATTTCAGTTTCAAGTCTAAAACATTAAACCATTATATCCTTTGGCAAATGAAGAATTATGGATTGTTCTCCATGATTGGCTGTGTTTAAAATAAGAATCTTACGTTCCGAGATTTAACCATAAAACTGATAATAATTTCTATTTAGCAGACATTCCTATTTGAGATAAGCATAAGTCCGATCACTTGTAAATAAATTGTTAGGTGTTTTTTTACTGGGGAATAAACAAAAGGTTTGGTTTAATGTCCTGTTAACAGCTATGCTGAGGTCATTTAAGGACGTGCCTCCATGTGTGTGCCTCATGTGTGTTGTGTAAGCGTTCATGTGTGTATGTGTGCCAGAGGCAGGGTTAACAAAAGACCTTCAGAGAATACATTGCTGATTTTACATGTAGGAGTGCACACAGCCAGTAAAACATTATATACACCAGAACAAAGCTGAAAACATCAAAAGAGTAATCTTTGATGACAAATGTTTTTTGTTGGGGAACAGAAATCTTAGCAACAGACCCTGTGGGGGGAGGATACCTGAAATGCTTGCTAGGTGAGAGATAAATATGGAATTTTCTTTTTACAATTTGACATTTTTCTTAAATTCTTAAAGACGATTATTGCTGAGAGTATGGCCATTTCTCTTAGTGGTAGTGAGACTTCTTATAATGGAAGATTCTATTGTAGAAACCATACTTTATACAAAGAAACCTGCAACAATATTACTGTAGTGAATAGACAGGGTTTGGATTACACAGGGTCAGTTTATGTACCAATATTACTGTAGCGAATAGACAGGGTTTGGATTACACAGGGTCAGTTTATGTACCAATATTACTGTAGTGAATAGACAGGGTTTGGATTACATAGGGTCAGTTTATAGACCAATATTACTGTAGTGAATAGACAGGGTTTGGATTACACAGGGTCAGTTTATATATAAATGTACATAACAAGTTTAAACAGGTCTCCATGGCAACCTTAGTCATAGGTCAGGTTATATGTACAGGTCTCCAGATATACACATTCGGGTCTAGTTATACTAAGGGTTGATTTATGAAGAATTCTTGAATTTTATACAGGTGACACTTTACTAAATGTGTCTGGGAACAAAATGCAGTTTACACTTGTAGTGGAGGCTGTGCTTGAAAGCTACGATGATTTTGTTGCCTCGCCTGTCATTCACACGTCACCTAGACATTGCCATGTGGAGGTCCTACCTTATCACTATACATCAACCACCCTGTTACCGCGGTTATCCTTACCACAACATTAAAAAAGATGAAGGCATTTTACCTGCTGAATGAAGGCCATTGATTATACTATAAAACTGTTACATAATTCAGTGGCCCAATCAATGGCCCTATTTTGTCAAACTTGTCTGGGTTTTAATACTACTCTACATTTTTTTCTCGGTTTCTACCATTCAAGCAAGAGATTTATTTATTACCTGTGAGTGCATTTTTAATGCGTACATGTGTATAAACGTATTTGAGGAGGGAAACAGGTCCCCAGATGTTTCTACCATCGTAGATACCTGTAGTTATCGTAAATACCTGTAGTTATCATAGATACCTGTAGTTATCGTAGATACCTGTAGTTATCATAGATACCTGTAGTTATCGTAGATACCTGTAGTTATCGGAGATACCTGTAGTTATCGGAGATTCCTGTAGTTATCGGAGATACCTGTACTTATCAGAGATACCTGTAGTTATCAAAGAAATTTCTGATGTTTGTACAAACCTTAAAGTAAAACAGCACATTAACAATAAATGTTGTTGACATGGAAATTAAATATATCGTAATCTAGATAATCTACACCTGTTTAATGTATTGTCACATTTTCCTTTGAGTTTAAACACTGATACAGGTTTAATGGTATTGTGTGTACACGGAGTCGAGGTTTAATGGTATTGTGTGTACACAGAGCCGAGGTTCAATGTATTGTGTATACACTGGTACAGGTTTAATGATATTGTGTGTACACGGAGCCGAGGTTTAATGGTATTGTGTGTACACGGAACCGAGGTTTAATGGTATTGTGTGTACACTGATACAGGTTTAATGGTATTGTGTGTACACAGAGCTGAGGTTTAATGGTATTGTGTGTACACTGATACAGGTTTAATGGTATTGTGTGTACACAGATACAGGTTTAATGGTATTGTGTGTACACTGATACAGGTTTAATGGTATTGTGTGTACAC